GGAAGTGGACCACCATTAATGTCATAGATGGTGTTCCACATTGATAAGGATGAAAATCAACAGTAGGCTTGCATGAAGTGGCCATCCGGGTGGAAACCTTGGCGTCGGTGTCGCGGAGCTCAATCAACAGGCGAGACGTTTCAAGACAGGCGCTTCGCTTTATTTGCAGGTTTGAATCATCAGACACTCCGTGCGGTCATTTAACAGCACGAAAAGAAATCGCACACGCACGCAAATAATAACAAAAATGAGAGTGAAGCATACGACTGAAGTTACCTCATTCCGCTTGCCTGGGGGGCAAATCTACGATTCAATATCAGCTTGTACCTTCTTCCTGGAGTTAATGTGAAGATGGAAACAAGAATGACGGAACTAGAAACACAAACACATGAGTGAAAGCGAAGACCGTTTACTTTTCATACTTAATGTACAGTATATCGTCTTAAGATATAGGACTTTGGTTTCTTTGCTTTATGGCCGACAGCTCCTGTTGAGGAATTTTCGCTTGACCTGAGATGACTTTAAGCTTTGTCACGTTGAAGAGAGTGACATGTCATTGACACGCAATATTTCGTGTTGGAAGCGCAAGGCGAACATAACAGCTAATGCCCCCTCATGGACATCCACGCCATCTCTCCCGGTCCTTTTCGGAAACTTATTTGGCCATTTTTAGATGCACTTTTTTTTTTTTTTTTTTTTGCGTGCGTCTTTGTTCCCAAGGACCTCACCTGTGAGCGTTCACATCATCACAGGTTAAGGGTCTCAGGGACAAGGAAGCACACTGCGGCTCTGGAGAAGAGTGATGCCGGGTGCCGGGGCCATAGATTGGAAGAAAATCGCTCAGACAGAAAAGTCGCTGCCGCAGTCCGCCATTTTGTGTCGCCAACTGCAACAAGAGACATACAAGTTAGGACCAGTGTTGAAAAGGTGCTTATATCCGCCCCCCCCAGCTTGATCTTGTGCCGGTCGAACGTACGTGACGGGCCCGTTGCGAGCACGCTGCCATGATTCACTCGGAGCTCCATCTTCCATTCTTTGTCTCTCTCTGGCCCAGTTTTACGAGCCCCTCCGCTGCTCTCTCACACGCGCACCACGGAACCACTGCAGCCACAATTTGAAATAGCGCATATCCAAAGCACCCATAAAAATGTCCAAAAAGAAAGACCGCAACGCGAAACGGTGGCGCAATGAAACGGTCAAGTCGTACACTTTAAAGCCCGTCATTTGTCAACTACACGCGACAGACATGACCAGCGATTGATCCGTCTCCCGCCTCAGAGAGGAGGCGGGGGGAGAAAAAACAAAAAACAAAACAACGCATCAATTAATCCGCTGATTGGTCAAATGAGATCTATGCCCTGTGTCTTTTTTTGTTGTTGTTGTTGTCTTGCCCGCTTGCCTTCTGACAAGTCACACTGGCGAGTCCGAGGCAAGGTAGCAGACACAAAAGCGCACGCGCGACACGCCACTATCTGCTACAACACCGTGTCCTCCCTCCATCTACGAGCACCTCCTTTCATAAATCTGTGTCACCTACCATGCACACACACACACATGCGGAGATACTTATGCAAGCATGCAGCATCACCATCTCCTGCTCTTTCTTCTCTTCTTCCGTCCCCGCCTCCCTCTGCTCCGTCTCAGCCCTTCCTCTCATTTTCATCCTCCCCCCTCTCTCACTCACTCTCTCTTTTCCCCCTCGCTCTCCTCCGCGGTAACCCCTTTCCTTTTTTTTCTTGCAGGCGTGACGTCCTGTCTCGCCCCTGTCTTGCAGTCTGCTCTGCCTTGACACAAAAGACGAGCAGGTGTCTGATTGTAGTTGTTGGTATTGCGGCGGCGTTCGGGCGGCAAGACACTCAGACCACTTCCATGTTTCATGCCTCCAAACTGCACAATCACGCCAATAAGACCTTTTCGTAGATTTTTTTTTTTTTTTTTAAACCGCATCGTGACTCCATGTCAACGGCATCAACACCTGCATAAGCCAAGCGATTTTCCGCATAGTATTAGAAATGGAAAGCGTACATTTAAGCCATATGCCTCTTTGGTGGGTTTTGGATGAAAAAAGCGTTCTCTCACGGTTCTGATGCGACCATTTTGCTGGACCTCCATGTGAAAGATGCTGACCTCACATGAGAGAGAGACAAATAGAAACCCCTTTTCCACGGCCTGAAAAGTATTTTTTTCGGGAGCAGGAAAGCCGTGTACGGGAATGAGGGAAAAGCGGAACAGGTGAGGTTTGACCTCCCCCGACCACAAAACCCCCAAAAAGCCAGCAATTTTCTGCCTTAAAACCCGACTCCACCGCACCCATCCCGTGTCGCAGTGATTTACATCAAATTCCAAAGAAAGTGTGTTTATAAAAAAAAAAAACGGTAAGCAATAAGGGGGGAAAAAAAACATGGCTCGGCCGGTCTGTCTGTTGTCAAAAAAAGAACATTACTAATGTAGAGTTGTTAAGCAACATCCGTGTGACTTGGAAGCACATCTCAGGCCAAATGACTGGCGCTGCCTTCCACACCGCCTCCTTTTTTGTCATAAGAAAAACAAGGTCAAAATGATTTTGCCCATGTTGTCATGTTTCTTGGTGGGATT